CACGCCGCCACGCCCAGCCAGGTTGCTCGCCACGACGTGCCGAGTCGCCACCGGGCAGCGCCGGGTCAGTGAGTTGGCTCGAAACGCTGGCACGTCGCAGTTCAGGCGCCACCACGGCGGCGCCGCTTTTTGGAGATAGCAATCTAGGACCGCTGCCCCCCGCACTTGGAGCGCCGTACTACACCTTCGTTAAAGCTCTGTGATAGAACATAACGCTATACTCGGCAGTAGCTGCACGTCATCGCGTAGCGGCCAATGAGCAAGCGCGTCATCGCTGATGCAAGCATTTCTTGAGGTTTCTTGTAGGAGTCAACTACGTCTTAGCATGAGCGCCAGCCACCTAAAAAAAGTTTAGGGCCGTTTGGAGATGGCCTCCTGCCGATGCATCGCAAACTGTTCGGTTGGATTGCGGCCCAGTTTTCGCGGAGTTCGTTTTCAGAAACACCTGCTCTAAAGGAGACGTCCCAAGTCTTCCCGGTCTCACGCGAGACTCCCGGTATCGACATCGCTGCTTCCGGAGCCCGGAATTGAGGTCAGAAGCTCGCGGTTGTCACACATGTTTCTAGCATATAAGATTTAAAAATTTACATCAGTAAATCAGTAAATTACTAAATTTGCCGTTCTTGTTGATGTACTTTGATTCCAGCGAACAATAAAAGGCGATAAAACGATGATTTTACATGTATACTTTATAAAAAATGGTGGTGTGCCGCGATAAACACATATCGCAGCCCGCCACAAGTTTTTTCCTGTTTTTGCGCACTGCGAAAAAACGGCGATGGACCTGGCTCCCTTTCTTGGATTGTTGGGCCAATGCTGGCTCCCTTTCTTGGATTGCTGGCTCCCTTTCTTGGACTTTCCCAACTTGGGACCTCTGCTAAGGTATCTGTCTAAGTGGACAAAAAGGGGGCGGCGTATTCGCTGTTGAGGCGCGGCTTCACCGCGAGCTGTGCGCTGCGCGCAAAAACCGGGGCCGCAAGTTCGTCTAGGGAATCGCCTACTCTCTAACCCTAACCATCAGATAGTTACCAGGGTACAATCTGGTATATCGGACCGTACCCAGCACAGGCACTTAGGCCGTTTCAATAATAAAATGATGGTTAATAAATACAACTTGTCAGTACTAGACGGTAGACCTACCAGTATCAGTAAGGCCATGAGAATTTAGGTATGAGTTTACCGTCCAAGATATTTTGAAAAGTGAGGAGGCTTTTTTTCAATTTTCATTATTCATTTAATATTTGTAGTTAACCCATTGTTCATGCGACATCCGCATACATGTGTGTAATAACCATTTCCAACTGTAGCCTGGCACGTTTTTCAGGATCGGGCTGTAAGTCGATGTACTCAGGATACGTCAGCATGCTTTTGCGCCCTAAACCAAAACCAAACCCAAGGTCTCAAAGAGCCAGAGGGGATCAGGACCCCAATGAAGGATGTAAATAGGCCCTATAGTGTTTTTGTATTGGTAATGTATGTTTTAATCGCTCTGAATGGCAGGCTTTCATTTTTAAAGGGCGCGATCACGCTCACGCTCCACGGCGCACCCGAAATTGTGCCACGGTGCGTGCATCATCGCGCCTCATAAAAGTGGTTGAAATCGCGTACAAAAAATATGTGTATTATGTTGAAATAGCGCTCCATAGAGTTGTGACAGTTGTCAGTGTAGGGGGTACAAAAAGGTTAGCAACACACAACAATTTGTGGTGTGTAAATAACTGAACGTATGGCAGAGGTACAGGTTACTACCCTCTGGTTTATACAACTAGACAACAGCATCCAAATACAGGTACCTACACGGTAGCCACAAGGTACCTGCTCGTTTTCCACTATACGTGGCGAGAAGTGGTTTTCTGCCGACGTGAAACAGTCATAGGGTTGGAGGAGCTACATACGTGGCTACTACGTACAAGTAATTTGGTTAGTTTGTTGATGGATTGTGATGATATTTCGTGATGAAATATGCAGGTACATGGATTAGAGTCTCTAAAGATGAAGATCAGAATAAATAAAACAAGTTTATTTTTACATCCGATCAACTCTTTTATTAATCTGTGTGCTAGTGTTGGGTTGTTGGATGAAAATAATGTAATAATGACAAAGCCATTGAATGAATGAAGGTGAAGATGAATGATAATCAGTGGATTAACATGACATCCCAATTTTCGTTTTGGATTTCACTCTAGACTGAGGATTGGTCATTATTCCATCATCACACCCTAAGAGGCATGATGGAGAGCCCTCAAGGAGCTCTCCATCATCCCTTTTAAGGGTGTGATTTTTAGTGGAGCTCTCCATCATGCCTCTTAAGGGTGTGATTTTTTAGTGGAGTTCTCCATCATGCCTCTTAATGGTGTGATTATGGAGCGTGAAAAGACCCCCTATGGTGTCCTAGGGGAGTCATTAATAGTCCTCCTGTACTTTTCAAATCTGAAAGCCTGGAATGGACAACTTGGGTTTTGATGATTTAAAAATGAAAATAATGAAATACTTTTGAAATAATGAATATTTTTGGCGGTGGCTCTGACGGCATGCGGGCGGTGGACGGTAAACTCATACCTCAATTCTCATGGCCTAATAGTCTTAATGTTTGATTTGATCTAATAACTTTACTTCAATACCGTCCAATACACCGCTGCAACACACATTCCTATAGCGCGCACGCCTCTATATTACTGTGTATTTGTGCACAATGGCGTGCGCGCTATAGGAATGTCTGTTGCAGCGGTGTATTGGACGGTATTGAAGTAAAGTTATTAGGTCAAATCAAACATTAAAGCCGCACTATGCGCATCCAAATGCTAATTTCTCCAGTACTAGACTAGCAAATACTTTGTGTCATGCATAATCACACTACCTTATGACAAAATAAACTCTAGTTCCTCCCATTTCACTGCGCGTTGTCTTATAAAAGGCATTTGAAAATACCTCCAATGTTGTTCAAATTCTCCGATATTGTTGACACTTTCGCGTTGCTCTCCCAAGCAACCGTGGAGCGGTGCTGCGGTACAGCGGTACGGGTGTAGCAAAGATAAAAACATGTGACGTCACCTAACCGATTCTTGGCGAAATTGTTTGGCAAACAATTTAGCGTTGGCGCCAGATTACCAGATTTCGCACCTCTTTCTTGTGGGTTTTAAGCAAACGCGCACTGAAATGGGAGGAACTAGAGTTTATTTTGCCATAAGGTAGTGTGATTATGCATGACACGAAGTATTTGCTAGTCTAGTACTGGAGAAATTAGCGTTTTGATGCGCATAGTGCGGCTTAAGATTCAAGGCTATTTACTGGTACTGGTAGGTCTAGTACTGACAAGTTGTAGGTTTAGGGTTAGGGTTAGGGTTAGGGTTAGGGTTAGGGTTAGAATTAGGGTTAGGGTTAGGGTTAGGCACATTGGTTTTATTAGGACCCATGTTCTCTATCCTTGGGCCGTACTATCGGAGGGTACCCTGGGTACCACAGGCACTTGGGCCGTTTCAATAATAAAATGATGGTTAATAAATACGGCCCAAGGATAGAGAACATGGGTCCTAATAAAACCAATGTGCCTAACCCTAACCCTAACAATAACCCTAACCATAACCCTAACCTATTATATTGATATAATATTATATTTATATTGATGTAAATGACATTGGTTTTATTGGGACCCATGTTCTCTATCCTTGAACCGAGCTAAGTATGACTATGACTACGAGTATGCACGTCAGTGACTCGGTCAGTGTCTTTTGACTTTTGTGACAATTGAAATAATAAGCTACAATTAGGTAATCTTACGCTGAAGGCTAACAAAAATACTTAGAGCGTCACAAACTGTCACTATGCAGTAGCCATTGGCTAACATATAGACTATTATTGATGTAAACATTTTGTAAATACTCTACGAATTTTCCACTAACATTTGTGGAGGCTGCCATTCTTCCAGTAGACGGGGTCTGTAAATATCACGACAGTGCACATGCGCAGATAATCCGCAACGTGGCGCCACTAGCCATATCAACAAAACTGACGTGGTGTTGGTGAAATTTCAGGAAAATATTGCAACTGCAAGTACTAAGTTGTAGTTGTAGCACGTTTTTAACTTAGTGAAATTTATAGGGAGAGTTAATGACTAAGCAGATCTGGGGGGGTTATATGAAATATGATTATGGAAGTACTGTATTATTGTATAAGTGGTATAAGTTATAACACTAACAATGGCATCAAGACAATAGTCAATACTCAGACTACTACAAGTACAATACTCAATAGCGATCATGATATAACCTGAGTCTATCAACAATATTGATAGTCTCATGATATAACATTGACTTGAGTCAATGTCTGTGTGTGTGTCAGTATCTGATTAGCTCTAGTACTATATATTATACTTTATAGCCTACAGGCACTTGGAACGTCTCAATAAAATAAAAAAAGGTAAATAAACACGAAATGTATTTACTACTACTACTACTACTACTACTACTACTACTAGGCCTACCAAAGTCTTAATCAAGTTAATGTTTCTCTACTCTATTTCGCCTATTATTGCCGATAATTACCTGTAAATGTCGCTCAAATGCTCATCTGCAACACACAAGTACACCGCACGCACGCCCTGTGCACAAACAAGAAGAAGAAGAGATCTCTCTTTATAGTAAAATAAGAGATATCTCTAATATATAGATATAGTAATCAGTGACTGTGTTGTAGTCGAGTCCGCACCCCCCGAGTCCGAGTCCGAGTCCGCACCCCCCCCGAGCCCGAGTCCGAGTCCGTGCCACCCAAGTCCAAGTCCGAGTCCGAGTTTGCACCACCCGAGTCCGAGTCCAGTTTTGATAAAAAAAAAAGGGGGGCACAGACCGACAAGACCACTCACTTCTATGTATGTGTTTGTTCAAAAATGTGTGGGGGGGGGGTGTCTCCTGCCCCCTGGATCTGTCACTTGTTTGCATGAAATAGAAAGTACAGTAAAACTTACATAAGTCGACACTTTTGGGACCAGCATATTTGTGTCGACTTAGGAAAATGACGACTTATACGTAAGTCATCCTTTTTTTGTCGATTTATACAATTGATCTGGGAAAAAATCGCAACAGTGCATCGTAGACATTCAAAAGTGTATAGTCAGCCGAAAACACAGAGACATGAGTCCTACGAAACGTGTTAAAGTAACAGATCCATTTGTGTTTTACGAGAATGACACGGCTTGTTAAACCAAATGAGAGAGTGCTAGATTTTAGATTTTTTTTTCTTTTTTTTTTTAAATTTATTTACGCTTTCAAGTATATTACATTTTTACATATATCACAACAAGTTTTTTAAAATAAGTACAGCGAGGGAGGGCGAATTGACTATACAGTCTTCGAGTCAGCCATTGGTGGGTTAGGCCTTTACATCGGCATTAGAGTTCTCCTTAATTTTCACATATGGACATAAGGCGGGGTAAATGCGACGCCGTCCTACCCAGAAAATGTTTAAAAATGTGATCAGCAGGAAGATGTGTATCTTGAGGCACTTTTGAGTACATGTACAGCCTTCATTTACTGACTACGGACAATTCTATTTTAGTAGAAACAATTCCATTTAATTTTTTACATTTTGTTTGACTTTGACAGATCAACGATGCGGGGGTGTCCAAAATGTGTCTCGACTTTATGTAAGATTTTTACTGTCTTTCCTATTTCACATGGCAAACAAGTGACAGATCCAGGGGGCCAGGGACACCCCCCCACCACATTATTTGAACAATCACATACATAGAAGTTTGAGTCGTGTTCGTTTCGGTTCTGTGCCCTTCCTTTTTCTTTTAATCAAAACTGGACTCGCGAGCTCGGGTTGGTGCAAACTCGGACTCGGACTTGGACTTTGGGTTGGCACCGGACGCGGACTCGGATCGGGGGGGGGTGCGAATAGAGTAAGAGAACATTAACTTGATTAGACTTTGGTAGGCCTAGTAGTTATTAGTCAGAGTAAATACATTTCGTGTTGTGATTTACCTTTTTTATTCGCCGTGGTCTATCCTTTACGTGAATGTCGTATAAGAGACGTTTCATTTTTCTATACTTCGGATTCATATCCCATCATGTCAACGCCGGCGCGCGACACAAGTGCAGCCCTACAACATGTTTTACATCCGCGCCATGGGGCCAGAGACTACCTTGGATATTGTGTACTGTATTTTGTGGGACTAATCAACTTACAGATTTACTCGTACCTGCTATATGCAAGACACACAGAAGAATCGATCTTGGGCTTGTTTTAAAGGACAGAAATAGGGGAATTAATGCTGAGTAAAAATGAATGTCGTTTAATACCGCCCGAAGTGTAGCCGGCGTATTTCTATACTGAATGGCAACTTTCGTTTGATCAATTTGGCTCAAGATATTGTAGAACGTTAGAAAGCTATTGAGTATGGAGTACTGACTACGAATAAATGGGTTAGATAATGCCTTCAAAAAAGTGTCCTGTCTTGCCATTATACCTTACAATTAGGTAGGAAATTTCAATTCTGTGAACGTTGTTTGATGTTTCTTCATGTGGCGGGGCATTATCTAACTCTGTAGTAGTAAGTAGTGACATATCGTAATAACCCGACAACAAGCGTCTTCTAAACCTGCAAAGACGTTTCGTTGGAGCTAGTACTTAGTGTAGTAATACCTGGTATACTAGTATAGTAGTAGTTAGGACCTACTAGTATAGCGTTTCTAGTACTATAAGCCAGCGGGATAGCTTGCCCGGCTATCGTTGCCGTATATTGCAGCTCTCGCGAGTATTATTACTAGAGTCTGAGTAATAGTAGTATTTCCATAGCCAATGCCGGGCGTTCCTCAGTTACTGTGCCAGAAACAGTCATATCCGCCTTGAATGAGTTTTTGCAGCTAATCAGATTGTTGGCAGATTCAGTGGCTACAGCGGTAGGAACGGAGGGAATTGCTCTAGAATACAATACGAACGCGCTACTTTGAACAGAACTCTTTGCGAAAGTATGCAAATATTCGTGCAGAGTCCTCGTAATAAAGAGGTGTAAACGTTGGTAATCCCGTTGAAATAAAATATCAGGTAAAGACAGTCAGTGAGATATTCATACATAGAGAAAACTCGCATTAGTCGTCATCGTCTCACTCGTCAATTCAGCATAAGCATCATGGATGGTCAAAGGTCTCGATTTCTCTCATTAGTAAATCCATTGAATAGCCCCGCCGCTAAGTCCATATTGTATAATTAGCCGTTCATATGTGGAAGGCTGGTGCCTCTAGACAGGGTCCCATGTATCACAAACAGTCAATTTTCCAGTCTAAGTCGTCATCAGAAATTGCTGATGGCGTAGCGTAATGACAATTCGCTGATGGTGCGAAATTAACGTGATGTCCGGATATAGCTAGATACCAACCCTGATTTACTGTCGGACTCGGATTTGACATATGCAGGAAGTCCGTGTGTAATGTAGTTGAATCTAGACTGTATATACTTAAGTAAGTGAACTCCTTGGAAATTCTGCTACCACTAACTAGTTCGTTCTAGAGCATGGGCTGCGATATACCGTATTATTTAATACAGCATGTGCTTCCAAGAAATTTGGCGACGTTGCACCGCAAATGTCCTGCAATGGCAAGTTACATGTAAATCAACAGCGAGGTGTTACAGATAGCACAGCGATGTGCCGCGCTTTGCCGCTAAGTGCGTAAGCTAGATACGTGTGTTATGGCAGCCAGCGCAATCGATCGTATTGATGTACTGGACCGCATTGTTTCATGTTTGCTATGTGTGTAGCAACCTAGTCCTAAGCCAGCGAACGGACGTCGTGTGCTGGAGCATGAGCCTAACATATAAGTCGATAAAATGATGACTTAACGCGATATGTCGTCATGTTTCGTAGAGTCGCTACTCAAACATGCTGGTCCTGAAACATTTAAACTTATGCGAGTATTTACATGTACTGACGACTCATCAGAAGAAACGTCAACGGTCTATATTTTGTCTTCCAATCACAGCGTCGGTGCAATTCCTCTGGTGTAGCTGCATATGTAAGCTCAGAAAACCTATTTAAAACTATCTTTGAAAGGGATCGGGTCCTACTATGCCTACTTTTATCCAGGTGGGACTTAATTTAGGTGTGCGGGATTGAAGGCAAAGCCTACTATTTGCTTTTACAATTGTTGCTGTAGACTATCAATCTTTAATCGTCATATGTAGATTTGTTAATAAGTGTATGCGGTGTGAGCTCAAAAATGATGGCAGAACTCGTTACTGAATTTACGTTAAACCAATCTGGCAGTATAGGTAACCACAATATTAAATTAGATGAATCTCCCAGTGAGAATTTAGTCAGACACGAGAAGCGTTATAGAATCGACATGCAATCTGATCAGTGACATAGCCCTGTTCACACAGTCGCTAGCTAGGGCTACGTATATCATTCGGACTGAAATTAGCAATGGCTATAAGCCATGATTAATGAGGCATTGCTTAGCCAAAAATTTCCAATTCTGAAATATATGTAACGATAGCAATACGGTGATGATGCATGTTTGCAGCTTTAACAATCCTACTTGGACGATAGAGGTTTACTACACTTAAATTGGCAAATTATCAAACAAACTACTGGCTTATTGCTTATCAAGTTAATATCTATTACAACAACATTTATTGTTGCGTAAAATTTTTATGTTTCTTATATCACAAAATGTAAAATGATTAACGCTAACATTTAAGAGCAGAATAGACGGTTACAGTAAACAAGTTAAGATCAGATTTTAGTAAACCTTACCAAAATTAAGAAATAAATTGCGTAAAACGCAATGGCATAATCATACAAATATATTACAGAAAATGTTAAACTAAAGCTATTAGACTGATGTTGACTAGCTACCAGGAAACAAGCTGAGATCATATTTTAGATAACAATGCTTTATATCAAAAAATAGCAATAGTGTAATGGCAATGACTCATTATTGGCAAATGAGAGCATAAATGGCTAAAACACAACAAATTTTCAAAACTAATTTCTAATTTCAAACTCAATTCTCCAATAGATTTCGTATGCACGTTACTATGAGGACAACACATTCGCCGCCACGATACATCGAACCAGAATGCGCACATCCTAGACTGCGCCCAGCTTTCATACGCCATATACATGCATAAACTACTGCCGCGAAAACTTCTACAAGACACCTATACTGCGCCGCATCGTATACAGCTGCTGATGTGAATGCTTGAGTTAAATTCTAAATCATAGATACATAGTAAGAACACAGAAAGATAGTAATAGGACAGCGAGTGTGATTCAACCTTAAACAAAGGGAAATTCGTCAGTACTATCCTTAGAATACTTTTGTGTCTACTGTGATAAACTCAACCACATTGAAGTTCAAAATCGTACACAGTAACATTCGCCTCAGCAATCGCTGCCAAAATCGTATCCTCATATTACTACCCGCAATCCGGGAGATACAGACTAAAGGACAAGCACACCTGCCCCAAGCCACGACAGCCGACAACCGAACCGTAAACGAACAAACGAACTTTGTCAGGAAATTAGAACTATTGTTTTCCTATGAGCCACATTGCACACAACACACACGACAACGACCGGCGACAACCTCGACTCAAAAATAATTTAGAACGTTTTCTAATTCTCTAGCGACAATCGCCAGCGACACTTTACAACATAGCCAATCAGCAGCCGTTTCCATCGACAGCGTTTGACGGTTTACGAATACGTCATAACCCATAATGCTAGCCAAGACGATAGACTAGGTCTCCGGCGCTAAACTTCGCGTGCATGCTCACAAACAATCGAGCGCCGCGAACCAGCTAACAAAGTGTGCAAGCTGTACGCAAAGCTAGCACGCAAGTTACGAATACGTACATGATAATTTGTGCGTATTATTTAACTTTATAATAATCTTATACGGAGTTATCCTTATGTCTAGAGTTTTTGCAGCCTGGTTAATTTAAAGTAAGTATGCCGAAAGTTTTCTAAGTGTTTTCCCCACTTTCATGGCACCTACCGTTATTGCTGAGTAACAAGCAATTGTCCTAGAGTAACGATAAAATAGCACTTTGGACCTTCTTCACCAAAAATCATGACACAATTACAATTTTGCATTCTGTTATTGTTATGACCGTTTGCCAATCCAACACTTGGACTTATCTCGCGGTCAGCCGCGAGACATACTGATCACGCCGTGCAGCATAAATGCGCATCCCCGATCGCCCACCGTAGAAATCTTACGGTCAGGTTGTAAACACAGCAGTTCATACTAGCGTAAACAGCCAGTGTTAGTACTAATTACCGCGTAAAGTCTGTTATTAGATAAGCTTGTGGATTACCGAGATCGGATCGAGTAACACGCGTAAGGCACAATGACAGAAAAGTAGCTCTGAATTTATTTTGACATAGTCAGGTTCGCTGCAGTGTGTTCTTGCCTTAAACGCTACGACATGGCATTTCTTCCAATTCTTATGCCCAGAAAACCGAAATGCCT